TGTTAGAGTCAACTCTCATGTACAATGCTATACTTATCCACATACCCATGTTAGTGCAACGCAAATTTAATGCATGGCATGTAGAACCTTACCCATTGTATTCTAATGACAACCTTGTTTACTCTGGAAAGGCCAACCGAACTTTTGCTAATAGATGAAGACTACTCTTTGTTACCAGTGGATATTCCTAGGGTATTATCAGGGTGTAAATCGTCATACCTACACTTACACGTATATCCAGCCTATGTATTCGCATTTATTCCAGCTGCAGAACGAATATGTGAATTGGCGATCATACAAACCAATGTTCGCACAGCGCTCAAGCAGTATAGATATACACAGATTTCCAAGAGAACTGTGTTTCATGCACATCTACATAATGTGCAATATTTTTTTCCCTGAAGAAACTAGTGTCATTTTACGGTGCCAGGATGGTGGTAAACATCTAGTTGTAAAAGGCTGTTATAAGGCTCCGTACTACTGCGTAATAACCTGTCGTTCATTGAAAACCTTGCCTTCCCATCACTTTGAATTTAAATCTAACTTCAGATTTGATTCCTATGTATCCGGCTCCTAATATGACTTTCAGTTAACTCAATATAGTATCAGATAAATTAAAATTTATTTCTTATCTGAAGGGGTCACAGTTTGCTAATTTAGAAGATAATCTGCCATTTCATTTTTCACGGGGATTCGCTATACTTAGTTAAACGGTTCACACTATTGTTTTAATACTGGCAGTAATATTTTTGTTTCGTTATTATAAATCAATATCATCCAAATTTTCCATTGTACATAAGATACTCTCCTGTAAGGAGCTTCAGATTAGGGCTCCAGCAGCTGCTCAACCTCAGGTTGCAGCTTCTCCAGTTTAGTGTCTACCCTTATATGCATGTAACATAGGGTTTTTCTGTGAGATTAGTTAGTTCCTCGTGGAGCTCGGAAGGTGGTGACCAAGCAATGTATTAGCCCCTGTTTAATAGAGAGTATGGGTTAATACATCAGTTTTATATAATTCCATCACCTCCATAATTTTCCATGAGCAGTGAGTTATCATCTATTGAACATGTGATCACTAGTTTCCACTGGAAAGCTGCATCCCTTGAGCAGGTTTACAGCCAGTTATCACTCAACCCTCACAAAGCATAGATGCTGACTCACAAACTATCCCAGATAAGCTTACCTTCTATTTCCTAACACTCACAGCTTCCAGTGTTAATTACGGTGATATCCTTGTTAACTGTGCAGAGAGTATATAAAAAGAAAATGGAGAAAAGACCATTTGGATTTTGAAAACTTAACCCATAAGCATTTTTATATTTAGCTAAGATACCTGTCATCAGTCAAGCTCAGGTGATTGGAAATGCTTACAATGGGACAGTGGCCCCTGCCCAGGCTAAAGCTGAGGCCATTAATACCTTGCCCATTCCCACAAACTGTAAGGCAGTCCAACGCCTTTTGGGTATTACAGGGTATTATAAGAGATTCTGCCCTAACTTTTCTGGTGTTGCATGACCATTAACTGATTTAGTTTGTCCTAAAATGGGTTTTCTGTGGACGCAAAGTTGTCAAGAGGCATTTGAGAAAATTAAGGCAATTTTGATGTCTAAACCACTATTAAGGGGATCAAACTTTGACAAGCCATTTGTTATACAAGTTGATGGAGTGACATAGCAGCTGGGGCAGTTTTATTGGAAGCAGGTAATAATGATGTTTTGCACCTGGTATCTAACATGCCTACTAAATTTAAACCTCGGTTAATAAATTACTCTACCATTGAGAAAGAAGCAGCTCCATAAGGGCACTAGATAAATTTGTAGTATACCTTGGGAACAGCAACCAGAAAATCATTGTATATAGCGACCTCAACCCCTTGCAATTTGTTACTTGCATGAAGAACAAAAACCAATGTTTAACTCGCTAGTGTTTGGCATTTCAACTGTATAATATTGAAATTAAACATATCAAGGGTAAGGATAACATTATTGCTGATACCCTGTCTAGGCCATATGAGGCAGATCTGATAACTGTGTATTGCCAATGTAAAATCCTACACGTTTATTTTAAGAAGGGGGGTGTTATGCATTGCGTAATGCACAGTAATGGATTGCTTTATGCATTGCGAAATATTTTTTATGCTCGTTGCCCTCCCCTTCCGCTGTGGTGTTGGCGTTGGTGTCGGGACGTATGTAAGTAAAATATTTTGTATAATTATTTGTGAACAAAACTGGTACTAGTTACCTAAAAATTGTCCTAAGATGTATGTATGTATGTATGTTTAACTATTTTTGTAGCTCTATGTTGGAGTTATTTTAAATTAGTGTTGTTAGGCTTGTAGTCCAACGGTACACTGTGGGTTTTGTCAGTCACTGCTGGGCATTGGAAGTGAGAAAAAATCTGAGTTTGTCAGTGGTGCATACCTTCTCAAATATGGTTTAGTTGACTATTATATATTCAGTGCTGCTCTATTATTATGTATTGTGTGTTAAGTGCAATTAATTATTGTGGTGTAAGGTGGTTTATGATTTATATACTGTGTACAATCAAAGACAAAAATCGTGTCGCGGTTTTGTCCAAAGATTAAATATAACTTGTAAAACATTATGAGAGCCTCCTAACACAAGGCAGAGCGCACTAAAAGTTTAGCCCATCGGCATATGTTTTCACCAAATTTCACGACACGACTTTTGTCTTTCATTGTTCATATTAATTGTTTATTAAGGATGGAAACCAAGTGCAGCTTACCTTTTTGAGGAGTCATTGTCTACGATGTTTTGTCCTATGCTAAATATTTTTAAAGTCAGTGATCTTGTATATTATTTATTCTCTTGATTTAATTTATCTATTCATTATGTAACCTGCACTTTTATTATGGTAAACTGCTGTAATTAAATTGTATTTAAATATTTTGTGACGTGTATAATTCCAAACCTTCACTTCTGAACTGTTATGATAAAGTAAGAGGCTGTGATTGAACCCATGACACACAATTTCGACCTTATTTGTGTTTATAACTTTTGCAGTTAACATTGTTTGTCGTGTATTGAAGTAACATAAATTTTAAGTAATATTAAGGACTAAGCTGTGCTGAGTTGCCATTTTTTTGTGCCATATGTGCCCTCATTATTATATTAACTTTTAACGTATTTCAAGTTGCTAAGTTATAACATAACAATCTCTACTGAGAAAACTAAGGTGTTCAACACACAAGCTGGTAACTGCAAACGCGGCCCCGCCAAGCTCAAGATAGGTAACGAAACTATTTACTATGTGTTCTTTTAAATCTTCCATACAACAGCTAATCCGCCAATGTACTGACAGACTGAAACCTTTTAGAAGTGTAGGGGAGTACAGCACACATTGTGGTGCTAATATTAGAATTGTTAAAACAATGCACCTAGGCTATATAAGATCTTTGATAGATTACTACGCACCAGCCCTGGTCCTTCGTAATAGAAAAGTATTGACAAACTCGAAAAAATGCAAAACAAAACCCTCAGAATTATCCTAGGCTGTCCCATGAGCACGAAAGTACTTAATATGAGGAAAGAACTAGGTATACCCAGTGTCAGAGATAAAATTATTGAAGTCAGCCTCATGTTAGCCCTGAGGCTTTTGCGTGGTGATCCTGACAACATTGTTTCCTTAAAACTGCTAGAATGTATGAATCATGAGACTAATAAATCTAAATGGATCCAAACTACAGCTACACATATGAAGATGTTTCGACTAGACCATCTGTACAAAGTTGAGACACAACAGCACTTCCTTCTACCCTGGCGGACAGTTCCCTTCGATATCACAATACCGACATATCCGCCTAAGAGATTAATTATACAAAGTATTTATCTCTAACATACTGCCACTCTACAAACTAAATTAGTTGCCATACTCACAGCCATTAAAGTTATTGAAACTACTGTCACCGACAGTCCCATCATCACTGATTCTCTATCCTCACTACTCTCCCTTGACACCTTCAACTTAAGTTGTCACGCGCTTGTCTCTGAAACCAGACACAAATATGCGTACGTGGATGACAAGGATGTCAAGATCAAATTTTTTGTGGATCAACTCTCACATAGTCCTCAAAAAAGCATGAGAGAGTTGATGCCCTCGCCTAACTCGCGTCTTACAAAGACACTGTTGGATACAATTTGGGTCTGTCAAAAAGAACATTTAAAGCTGTAATCAGGAAAGAACTTGTAAATGAAATTCACGCAAGCAAACAAGTGCAAACGGGAAATAGTCAATCCATTGTTTTTGTAATGATGCGATGTATCAGTGAAACATTTAAATGGTACAAAGTAACAAGATCTCTACATTACAAGATGTTGTAACCGCTAGACTAAGGTTAGGATAATAGTATCTCTGACAGTTTGTTCCTCAAGCAGATGTGAACAAAACTAAATGTAAAGTGTGTGGTCAAACATATGGCCACACACTTAAACACTACGTCCTTGACTGAGTGAAGATAGAACCTTTTAGGGACAGGCCCAAGCACACTGTGTGAAATGGCACAACAATTTATCTCTAATGGCAAGATAGGTAACATATAGCATTAAGTTGCTATATCATTTACCATGTATAGAATTAAACACAAAATGTGCTTGAATATCTCTCATGCAAATGTGAATAATAAAGTGTGCGGCCAGACATATTGCCTCACACTGCTGTACTCACGCAGTTGCGATAAGTCACCCTCTATGTACAGAACTAAACAAAGAATTTATTTTGAAATATAATGTAACATTGACTGCCATAACATCCTGATCATTGGGGTCTGTCACACACGCTCTTAATGACCTTTATTCTGTAATCCTTTTGTGCTACCGCTCACAGGATGAGTATGGGGTGCACAATAAACTAGCCCCTTTAAGTGGCAAGATTAAATTATGGAGTGAGACCCAGGAAGAATGTACAGTACACTTACAAGTAGCCAGCCAAGTAATGATACAAACTACCAAACTTATAATAGTATGAGATACCTGGAAACTCACCAAATCAAGACAAGGTAGTAGAAGACGGGTATCGAGAAGACCACTTGTAGCCACCTCCAGGACTGCACCAAGTAAGATACACCTGGCACCATCATGTACCCAACAGCCCAGGGAAGCAGGTAAAGTGAGCACACATAGTTCCTTTGTGACGGTGAGCACAGTTCCATAGCTGTTGGGAGTAAAGTGTCTCTCTTAGTGATCCATAAGACAAATCCCATATTACTATTTATGCTTTGTAAACCATACTGCTGAGCAGGACATGTGATCATTTAATTCTCTTTTAACTCCACTTTGCTCCCTGGCTGAGTTTCTCTATAGTCTGCATCTGTTTGGCTTTCTGAGCTTGGTAAGTATGCCTCCAACTTGTCTAGTATGTACACTTGTAACTGTATACCTGTTCCATCAGTCGGGCTCAGGTTATGTAATACAAACAATAGTGAATATGCACAGAAAAATCGTTCAACATTAGAGTTTTTTTGAATGTAAAACGCTTCAAAGACATGAGTTGTATTTGATCCTGAGAACCTATTTTATAAAAGAGTCAATAAAAGTGAACCGTTAATATGTGAAAACCTTTCAGCCATGGCACCTGGGGGTAATCCGAGGTTTACTCATGTCCTAAAGGAATTGGGATGAGTCGAGGTGCCACGCATATTATTCTTTCTACGGCAAATATCATATTTCATTTGACGATTAACTTACTCCCCAGATTTACCCGGAATATGACAGTCATCTGCAAATGTATGACAAAAAAGTGTAGCTGCACGAGGCTTGGTGAAAAATTTTCAGAACTTCCTGCACCCCGAAAAAAGGCTTATTAAGTTGGTAAAAATTTCCCCATGCTAATACTTAAAAACTGTCTCATGTGTCTGTGAGTGGCACTAGGCATCCTTCAGGTCAACAGTACTGTAGTTGATGAGAAATCTCTCTTTAAGTTTCACCTTCATTTCTGAATAATGGTAATCCTTAAATTTAAGATTATGGGTCAATTTGCTTAGCTATTATAGTTAAAGAATGGCTGTAAGACTACCTAAGGCCTTCAGTGCATGAAACACTCTAGACAAGAGAAGTGTCATATCAGATTGTTGAATCACGTTTTTACAGAACAGTTTAGCCACATTGCTGGGAATGCTAGTGTGATTCAGTTCCAAGTGTCCAGGAGTCTTTCTCAATGTAAAAATTAAGACAATTTTGACTAGTAAATGGTCTCCAATGGGAGTGGGATATCTTCAGTCTTCTTAGACAATCCCAACCGTGTTCTCTACACCTCTCCCCCACCCAAAGGTGAAGGCACTGAGGAGGTACCAGTTACAACTTGTTATACTTCGCCATACAACCAAATGCTCGATGAAGTAACTCACTTATCACCCACAGACAAAGTTAGGAAAGACGCAACACCTAAAAGGGGTAATGGCCAAACACTGGCTCGGTAATATCCCTCTAACACGGAAATCCACCATATTCATCACACGATTGCGGACACAGGAATCATGTAGAATTCAGTGGTCTCCAATCTTTTCATCGTCACGGGCCAGTGGAGTAAAACCCAAATCTGTGTATCGGTAATTATAAATAATTTATATATACAATATGCATATGCTGTACAGTAGACCCTCGGTATTTCGTGAGATTAGGACCGATAATTATAATTACAGCGAAATTTCACTTTTACAATATGTTGTTCTATAAATTACAATGGGGACGATGGGGTAGGTGAACGGAGACTCAAAAAATACAACAACAATGTCTTTAAGACGTTTACTTCATCAAACATTGGTAGAGGCTTCACTGTATATTGTACCGATGCAAACAGTATATTGCTGTCTTCTCATAACCTTTACGCAGCATAATAGGAGTTTATGCTCGAAAAATAAAATGCGTTACAGCAGAGAGGAACCTCAGATATTCTACCAACTGAAGATTAAATCGTCATCCGCCAGGTCACCCATGAGTCAGCTGACAGTTGCCACAGATTAAATATAGTTTTTTATCAATTATTTTGAGCATAATCACAATGGCGTGGCGATTGACTATGTTATGCCAAGGCATAATTTCGTATTATAATTTTGTATACTAGGTGTTTGGTTGTTTTCTGTCCCATGCAGCAGTTATTTTGGCAAATTTAGTGAAATATTCGTCTATATATTGATGTATTAATTACTTAAGAATATTCTAGAATGTATTGCAACATTTTTGTTTTGATTTACTTATTATTGTAAACCTCGATCAGGGTAAAACGTTCTAGAATCTCCCATGCGTTTGTGGATGGTACTAGAATGATCGAGGGGGGTCTGATGAGGTATACAATATAAGCACCTGCGAGCAGACTAGGGTCCACACTCTCGACTGCCGGACCCGGAGCTGTGAAGACCGCCCTCTCTCTGCTGCCATTGTTGGCCAACTTTCCTGACCAGACCATCCACCACTGACATCGTCGACAACATCTCACGAGCGTTTTCGGTCTATCGAGCATTAGTTTGCCCTCCCCACTGGTGGTGTGAGTGACCCACACTCCAGCTGGAGAGCAGCTACAGCGTGATATTCCTGACGTGGTTTGAGCTCTTTTCCTTCTACTGCTATTTTTCCTTTTTTCGCTCTGGCCTAGGGACCTGCACCCTCAAAAGTGTATTCGTCCTGCGGTCCTCCCTGTAACTGTTCACCTCCCTCCCAGGAGATTGTGAACACGAAAAGGGATTGGAGCAAGAACCCATCCCTCTGCAGAATCTTTCCAGGAAAACCGTGATCGTGCGGGTCCACCTGGAAAGAGGGTAGCAATCCTCATCCTTCCCCAATAGGCACACTTAGCTCACGTCTATAAGTGAGCAGTCACATACACTAGGAAGTAGGCTTCCCCAACGGGGCTCCGGGAGAGAAGCTCAGGAACCACTCTACGACCACCCGGCCATCAAGTGCCTGTGGGGAGTGTTGAAATTCCCCTGCTACTTACTCAACCTGAATAGGTAGGCTCTGAACAACAGAAAGCCCCAAAGAAGAAGAAAACAACACTTAACCACCGGTTATGGAATGCGTACGCCCTCCTGTCCGCAACCCCCGCCTGAACCGCCAACCCGACGACCCGAACCACGACAGGCTCCGCACAGAGAAAGCGGACCAGCTGCGGGCCTTCCACGAAGCCCTGAAAACCAAGAACAATACCAGCCACACCACTGCCACTGGCCCCAACAACTCCACCACCACTGCCACCGCCACTGAGGACGACAACTGGACGAAGGTTGAAAACAAAAAACGCCGACGTGCTTTTTCGGGAAACGAAATCCGTCAAGCAGCCCAAAAGGCACCCATCACCACCACCAGCTCACCCACAACGACACTGCCAAAATTTCGGATCTCGAAAACGGACACGAAAATGACATATGGCGCCATCACAGAGATGGAGAAACAAAATCCACTGGCCAAGTTCTCAGTGCGGTCCAACCTAAAGGGGGAGATGATTATTCACCCCAGAGACAAGGACTCCGCCACCACCCTCGACACTTACCTGAAAAACACCACCACCGTTGCATCAACCAAGCTGGACCCCGTCCAGAAACTGATGAAGTCGGTAGTCCTCCGGTACCCAAAGGAGCTACCCCTCGAACCCCTGGAGAACCACCCGAAGATCCTAAAAGCCGAGAGATGCTCTCCCCCGACCGACAAGACGGCCACCACAAAACAAGTGCTCATAACGCACTATGGTCCACTCCCCAGCACCATAGACCTCAAAACCTGGGGGATTTACGAAGTGAGGCCCTTCATTCCGGAGCCCCTGCGGTGCTTCAGATGCCAGAAATACGGGCACCATCAGACGAGGTGCACGTACAAGGAAATCTGCGCCGTCTAAGCGCAGAAGCACGGCACACACTCCTGCCTCACCAAATTGAAGAATGGGGAAAAAATTGCCCCCAAGTGTGCCAACTGCGAGGGCAAACACCACGCCTGGAACCCTGGATGCTCCGAGAGGACAAAGAGGGTCCAGATAGACCGACCAGCAGCAAGACCGGCCCCCACCGCTAGCACACCAGCCCCACCAAGAACCTTCGTGTGGGAAACCCAAAGGCAAAAACAACAAAGCCAACCCCCTCAACCGGTCAACACACAAAGTGCAGCCCACTTTCCTGGCCTCCCTACGGCCACACCTCAGCCCCCCAAGCAGCAGGCAACGAGAACAACTGCGAAAAGGACAAAACAAGCACACACCAAGGCACCAGAAGGAATGATACACGTATCAGACCTAGCCAAGGTACTGACAACCTTCGCGGAGGGCCTAGCCGGACTACTGGGCCACAAGATCCAACCTACACAGCTCCAAATACTCATGGGGAGCGTCCTCGGGCAAGCCGCCACAGCTCCAGCCACCTCAGTGGAGGACACCATGCCGGCCCCCACACAAGTGACAGCCGAGGTACACTCTACACCGAAAGAAGTCCACCGGGGAACCAAAGATATCGTCAGCTCCCAGAAAAAAACTGGACATTTCAGCTCCCCTGAACCGAACCACGGCCCAGAAGGTAAAAACCACCACAGAACAAGAGGATATGAACCTGATCCAGTCGGAATCAGACATGAACATATCCATTGAGAAATACAAGAAGTCCTCTATGAAACGGTGGTGGAAAACACCAGCACCCTGACCATCCTTTCATGGAATGCTCAAAGCATGGAAAACGAGAAACACCTCCTGCAAGAAGCAGCAGCCAAGGACAAGCTTGACATTATACTGCTACAAGAAACACTTCTACAAGAACACCACTGTTTCAAATTCAGTGGTTACAAGACATACAGGAGGCATTTCATGCGGGCGTCGACAAGAGGATGTATGATCTTGGTCAAGTCGAGCATACCCTCCTTCGAGGTCATGCAGCATTTGCCATGTGGGTAAAACATTGAGACACAGGCCGTCAAAGTAACTCTCCAAGAACGGGAAATAACTGTCCACAACATCTACAAGAACCCAAGGGGCTCACTGGAGGTGACTCAATTATTCGCTTCGGCCGCTGACCACGCCACACTCTTAGGAGGGGATTTCAATGCACAGCATCCCTTCCTAAGCTCGGTAAGCCCCACAAATGAAGACGGCCTACACCTATACACCACTTTTCAAGACACATCCGAGATCGCCCTTCTAAACACCGGAGAGCCCACCCACATTAGGGGAGGAAGGCTAGATCT